GGCGTTACCACACAAGTGTTTAAATTCCACGCTGGATCCCTAGCTACAAGGGAGAGGAAAGTTCAAACAACAAAAACAGAGTTGCGAGGCCTGAACTTGTGTGTTAGGGATACCTCCATTCAGGGCAACCAGGCCCTCCCAAGCAACATGGTTAATTGAAGAAGGATTCTGAATCTTTTGGCTGCAGATAAACCAAAGTGGCACATGGCTCATAACTCAAACATTTCATTTTAGGCTGCTGCTAGTGTTTTTTCGCCCAGGTCAATTTGGATTATTCAATCATTTTCTCTTCTGTAATAAAACACTGCTTGTAGTTACCAGTGGGGGCAAGAACTGCAATTATGGTTCCTGGAAGGCAAAATTATTTTCTGCTCATTTTGCTCATGTATACAAGTGATACTAAACTGAGAACATTTTACTACCAGTACAATTTTCTCCCCCATCATACGATGTTTAATAACATCGTATTTGACTCCTGACTACTATTCTACTGTTTCCTGTTATGCTACATCTAGCTCCTCCTATAGTATGCAACCAAAAATGTGAGACAGAAAATGACAAACATCTTTTAAAGTCCACAGTAAGGCTTATTCAGAGGGCCAAATCTAAGTAAACCTGGAAGCCCTCAGTGGTAAGTTAATACAAAAGGCATTTTTTGACAATAGTTTTTTGCTTTGCATTAGGTGCAAAGCTGAGCTTTGTTTTCAGGAACTTCTTTTTTTTTTATTTAAACAAAAACAAAACAAAATAGTAAAAGGGTACAAGTAATACAGAATTTCAAAAAAAAAAAAATAAACAATAAGAAATCACTAGTTAACAGATTACATATTGTCATCTTAGGAATAGTTGATCAAGTTACAAAATTAAGCATACAAAGTGGACATTCAAACAATGAGACTACAAACAGTTGTGTTCCATGATCCAACAAAAACTTAGTAATATGGTCATCTATCTTACACACCTAAACATATCTGTAGTTGTGTCCTTTAGAGCACTTTCTTTTCCTCTTTTTTACAATAACATTTACACATTTTGGGTTTTATTACTACCACAGTTCTTATAAGAGGAGATAAGAGACAAAGCCCAGGACCCACCAAAAGAGAAATCTCAAATTTAGTAGAGTAGAGCCCAAAAGAATATTTCCCCTACAAATTTTATAATAAGTTTGGTTGCAAGTAGGTGTCTAGCCAACATTAACATTACTTTAGTCAATAAAGTTCAAATTAAGATTTAAAAGTGATGTAACATCTATACATGCTTCCAAGTAACTGGCAAAAGCAAATGCAAAGCCTCTATGGAGGAATCCACTTTTAATCCAGGTCTTAAAAAGTCCCACAGAGAATAATGCTAAGAAATAAAGGCTCACATTCACAAATCACCAAATATGACAGATAATGAGGCAACAGATACAGCAAGACAGAACGTTTGTTTAAAATATATATGAAAATTAATAAAGGGATAGAAAACTCAAGATAGAAAAAAAATGAATCCTACAGAAGTGTGTTTGGTAATAAAGTAATATAACCTCTAAAAAGTAAAACTATAATAAGAAACATTAAAAACTCACTGGATTTCTGTTTTTGCATAGAACAGAGTGGTTTGTAGTAGGCTGCAGCTTCTACTAAGAACTAGGAAAAAACGACAAAAGTGTATTTATTTTAAATGTCAAAAAGGAATAAAACAAAGATAGCTAAAGGGACTAAGATTCCAGAAAAGAGAGAATAACAGAGAGGTAAACTGATAGCTCCCAGCTGCTTTTTTCTTGGAGGCATCTGCTGGTTTTGAGAGAAGATGAGAAAATGAATGTTGTGGGGTTTGTCCAACAGAGGACTGCAGCTAGAGACAGAGAAAGCAGCAGAGTTTCTGGCAGTTTCTCAGGGTTCAAGTGATAAAACTGGAGACCCAAAGGTGCTGAAATGTGTGCCTAATTTTCTCTTCAAAAAAACCCAGGTAAATTCTGAGCTGTCCTAAGAATGTGGTTAAAAAAGGTAAAGATGAGAATATGTTAAAAGGCCTTAGTGAAGATGTTGCTTTCAACACTGAGAGCCCGAGGGAATTATGACACAGAAAAAGAGGCAAATTTGAAATAATGGGACCTTAATCACAGGCTCCCCAGCTTCACGCAATTAAGATAACTGGCCTCCACTCAATTTTCCCAACAGAGTAAAGATAAACTGTCAAGAAGGAGGCAAGAAAATCACCTGGAGGTTTAGGATGTCTCGTGTTTGGTCAAAAATCTGTAGGTCTACCAAGAGAAAAAACAGGCAACAGAAAAAGACTCACAGACGATTCAGACTTTGGAGTTAAAGACACATGTTAAAATAACTATGACCCCATTTCAAGAGAAGAGAAGCAAAGGGGGAGAAAAGAGAGTGAAATGAGTGTTTCACCAAGAGAAGTGGAATGTACAAAACAAAAAGGAAACTGTAGATCTGAAAAATATACAGTCTCTCATTAAAAATTTAATTGATGGTTTCACAACAGAAGACAGAATTTGGAAAACAGAAAGGCAGCTTTTTAAAAAAATCAAAACTGATGAATATAAACTGGAAAATATAGTAAAGGAGGAGAGAGATATACAGGAAAACAGTGAAAAAGTTAACATATTGGAGTCTCAGAAAAAGCAATACATACTGACTAAAGATTTCCTAATACTCACAGAAGATATCAAATCAGAGATTTAATGAGGTCTCTGAACACAAAGAATACACAGACCATTTTTTCTTTGTGTAATACACAAAGGTGACCACATCCAGGCACAATAAAACTGCCACAGTAAATGAAGGATGCATAATTAGCATCCAGAAAAACAAAGACTCCCTTCAAGAGAAGAGCCAGAAGATGGCAGCTGACATCTCAGTAAGAAGAGGGAAGCCAGCCATTAACAGGATGTATTTTAAGAGTTACAGGAAGACTGACTCTTGGCTATCATGGGGTAACAGATGTACCCTAACATGTTCAAGAGCTACAAAAAAGTTCCCTCAGCAAATTACATAAAGCAATGGTTTTGGATTTTGGGCAACAGGTAGCATTAGCCAAGGACTCTTGAAAGAAAGGTAACTAAGTGAGCTCTACCACGGCCCCCCTTTATTGTTCTGCAGAATGTACAAACCTCAGAGCAGGAATGGGGAACTGACACCAGCTGGAGAGTGAACAAGCCCTGGGCAGGTAGACAGCACTCCTTGGGTCTTCTTCTGAGTACTGAACAGCACATGTACATCAGCAAATTACTAAGGGCAGAGCAAACAATAGGCACCAGAAAGAGAAGGGCGAAACAGTGACTTAAACTCATACACGGCCTACAAATAGCTCTGTTGTGACCAATGGAGTAGCAAGGTCTTAATAATAAGCAAGGCCTAAGGTAGTACGTTCAGCAGGGGTTCTGGGAGCTGTGTGGAAAAACCTGCTTTGGCTGAGCTGTTCCTGTTTATCTAAATTGAAATAGGCTTAAGAATATCAATCTATTTTGAAGTAATATAACTGCATCCCTGAACAAAGTTGAAAACCATTTAAACAAATATAAAAATATTCTTCACTCATGTGTGGTAAAGTTACCACACATCTAAATAAGACACATAACTCACTGTAACGGGAAAAAATAAACAGAAACAGAAATTGAAGGAAAAGGTCCTAGATGTGCTTAATAGCACATTACACACTGCAAAAGAAATTATCATTAAATTTGAAGACAAAGAAATAGAAGCTATTTAAAATGAAACAGAGGAAAATAAAAAAATGAAAAATGAAAATAAAAGAGAATGAAAAAGCTGGGGAATGAATGCATCTCAAGCAGTAGTTCCAAAGGGAGAAGAAGAATGGTGGAGGACAGAAATATTGGTAAAAATAATAGCTGAAATTTTTCAAATAAAACACCAGAAACCCACAGACTCATAAAGTTCAACAAAACATAAACACAGAAGTGTGCAGAAAGCTATACCATAGTACATCATAATCAAATTGGTTAAAATAAGCAACAAAGGGGAAAATCTTTAAAAGTTGCAAGAGGATACATTATGTACTGGGGACAAAAGTAAGAATGAAAGCAGAAACAAACCAAATAAGACAGAAAACTCTTTAACATATGGAAACAAATAGCAAACCCTTTTACCCTACATTTCTATAACCAGCAACATTTTTCTTCATAAAATGAAGGCAGTAAAAAAAAGATCTTTCCAGGCATGTAAAAATTGAGTCAACAGTCAAGCAGTAGATAAGATAATAAATTTGCAGATAGAAGTGAAATGATCTTGGAAATGGGTCTACACACACACACACACACACACACACACACACACACACACACACAGCACTGGGAATGGTAGATCCATGGGTAAATGTACAACACTGTAACTTCATCTTTTCGCCTGGTGGGAGGGGGGAGTCCAGGAATCAAAGGACACTGTGCTTGCCAGGCAGGCATTGTATCACTGAACTATATCCCTGGCTGTAACTTCATTTTTATTTCAAAAATCTTCTTAGGATATTTGACTGTTTAAGAACAGTAATAATGTGAACCCTGTATACAAATGCAGAATAAAACTGATCACAATATGGTCTTGGTGAGGTAACATGTATCACACAATATGGAGACCTCAGTTTTTAAAAAATATAGTTATGTAAAAGTTCAGATACCACCCATTCATCAAAATTTTGTCCCAAAGACTACTGTCCAGTCCTAGCCAAGTCCTCTTTTTACTACATATTATGTTACATGGTCTGTTAATATTTTTCTCACCCTGATTCAATAATCAAACAGATTATTGAATTAAGAGTTTTAGATTTCAGCTCTTCGTCATACAAAATTCAATACACATATTAAAAAACTATTAGCACTGCTGTGTAGTAGACTTGAATCAATGTATCATCTTCTAATTAAAATAATTTGATTTCCTTTCTTAGGTTCATTCTATTTACTCAAATATTTCCCTTTTAATACTTTATAACAATACTTTCATTTTATACCTAAATAGTTTTAAAAGGTCTCTAAGGTACCAAACAAATTTGCTCAGATTGACTTTTCATCTTTATTAAGCAAAGCATACACAGTTTAAAGGGTAATTTAATCTGTTTCCATACTGAAATACACTTTATAGGGTATATATTCAGAACAGTATCTTCAGCATTGTCCACCTATAAATTTGATAAAGATCGATGTTTAAGAACTGCACTGAAATGTAGGATTTGCAGTAGGGAATTTTGTGAAAATAAAAAGTAAATATATATTTTGCGTATTTGAGTTTGTGCATTAAGGTACATCTTTGTTAATAATCAGAGAGTCAAGAAAGTTGGGGCTTCCAAAATGATAACATACTCCAAAACTATATATAGCAAACAATAAAATTTAACATAAGCATATTAAGACTCCTGCAAAAGAATATCAACAGTGTAAATAACATTAATGATTCTCAAATATACACATTTATCATTGCCAAATTCCACTTCCGAAGTCCTACTTTAAAAAATAATGTCAACTTTTATAAATTTAACATAGTTTACATTAAAGTACATAACAAAAAAAGAAAAACTTCAAAAAAGTTATTCTAGTAAAAGGATTACAAAAACTTTTGTAACTTGAGACGCTATTCTGGAACGTATGCTACTAGTTCAAATATGCAAGCTCCAACTTAACAAATGTTTGAAATATTTGAGTTTTTAAAACACTGCCAAAATAAGCCACATCTTTCTAGAGATGACATATTTAGCTAAGCATGAGAAATAACAATTTTTTGATCATTTCATGTACTTTTAAAAAGCCTCAGAAACCATGTGCATTTTGAATAAAACATGAACAAAATGCCAAAATCACTGAAACCTAATGGTTGACTTACAAATGTTTTGAAAGGGAAAACGTAATTTTGTGTGTCTGTGAGTATGTATATATGAACAGATAGGCTGGTTGTAAATAGTGATTACCAAGAACATAATAATGTCTGTGAAAAACTGGGATTCCATTCAAACCACAGATTGGAAGACAAATGTGTTATAATTTTTTAAAAAATCATATAAAGCCTTATTAATAATATTTGAAAAGGAAAATGCATAATTATGATCTTTTAAAATACTAGATTTAAAAGTTCATTCCTACATAATTGTATACATGAAAACTACAAATTCTTAGTAATTCTAATTTATTTGTGAAATAAACATTCTATCAGTAAAGTGACCCAATAAAAGATTCTTGTTTCCTTATTTCATTATTTTCTTGTGGTGCTGAGGATCAAATCTAGGTCCCCATGCACTCTCAGCACACACTGTCCACGAGCTACAACTACAGCCCTCTCAGTTTTGGGGAGGGGAAATATACAAGGGATCAGTTCATCATTGAAAACATATGAGAATCCTTCTATATCAATAATTTTGGTGTAACTGCCTTGTCAATAGCCAATAACTTGGCTTGTAACTTTTTTAAAATCTCTAAAAGTTGCTCCAGGAGGTAGGGTGAGCCTTGAATTTTAGACTACCATTTTATAAAGCTATCCTGTCAGGTTTTAGCACTAGGTGAAATTAAAAGTAGCTCAAAGCACTCAAGGTCATATTCCAGTGGAGGCGGGGGCAGTGGGCAGCTTTTCCACCCCCAGTGAGAGGTGATGCTGACGTGGTGGTGTGTACAGACGCAGTGCACAGTACTGTGCTTCATGTAGGAAATGTGTAGATTTAGATTGGGGATTCACACGTGTGTCTATAACATGAGCAGCATAATAGTAACAGAAATTCTAGGAGTTAAAGCACGCACTATTTTTTTGTTACAGAAAAGTTTGGAGAGTTTGTAGTTATAAGAACTTAGTTCTAATTCTAGTCAGTCCTTCGAAAGTTTTAAGATACTCTGAGTCTGTTTTCTCATCTACAGGATAAAAGTAATAATAACAACACTAATACTAAAATCCGCAGAATTACTATTATATGATTTATTACTATTATATGGTTGTTGATAGGATCAAAGTTTTAAAGAGACGTGAAATTTGTAAATCAATTGTTAAATAGAAATTCGGTCTATTCTTTTTCTGTCTTTTCTCTGTACTTAAATATTTTCTGTCTTTTCTCTGTACTTAAATATTTTTTTACAAGAAATGGATTCTCATGTTACTGTAGGAATGAGACTTGATGTTTAAAGCAAACTTAAAGCAAGTCGCTGAACAAAGCAGATCACTTCTAAGTAGCACTGTAACTGAATATGTAGCTAATGAAGGCTATTTCTTCATACACAAAAAAAATAAAGACTATAATATTTGAAATATTGTTGATGGACATTTTTAAGTGAAAGAAATCAAGTCAATGTATGGCTGTTCATAGTTTGCTCTTGTAATTTTCATGTTCAAGAAGATGGTATATATTTTAGGAGATTAACCATAATGAAGAATATTTATACTTTAGAATAATAAGTTTCATTTTATAATGTATTATATAAAAGTTTTCCACATTGACTACATGAATTACGTGATCACATGGTTCAGTTGTTCTAATCTGATCAACTGGGTGTAGGAAGAGATGCTTGGAAATTGTAAAGTGTTTTTATATTGCACTTTGTGTTCTGAAACCCTAAGCAAACCTTAAGAAAAGTTTGTTCTTCAAGACTAACCTGAAAATTCAAGTTTACTTGTGATTTATTTTAAGAGGGCTCAGAAATGGAATATTTTGTAATAAGAACTCTTTTCTTTTACTTACCCCCATCTTCAGGAAAGTTTAAAAGGACTTGTGTCTGTGCACAGGGAGCTTCTATGGGTTACTAATTTAGAGCTCAGAGACAAGGCTCCATGCATGAGTGAGGTATTATGAATTTCTATGTTTGTACTGTCACTGGTGTAGGAGAGGCTATTAAAGGATTAATTAGAAAGCAAATCCAGTTAGTTTCTTTTTAACCCCTGTTGTTCTTTATTTTCTAATTCTCACAAAAAATTTAACGCAGGCAATATGAGTAAATTCAAAATTTGGATGCAAAGAGATGATCCTAACTGATAGTTTAATGATACAGATTTAATAAGGACAAAAAAGTATGTATGAGTATGTGTATCTCTTGTCTCTTGTGACAAAGCACCTCAAATTTTTTAATGAAGTAAAGACAAAAATGAGATAATTTCTAATGGTATACAAAAGAATAATACAATAAATTGTCCTTAATAAACTTACCCTGTAAATAGGCAATAGTATATAACTTAGTGTGATCTTAAAGATGAATTAAAAATGCAGTTACAAAAATTTTCATTGGACTAAACATTTTTACTAATTCAATTTCTGCTTGTGTATTTCAACTTGCTCCAGACAAAGTCATTTTCTATTGGTCTTTCACCTAAAAGGAAGGTAATTTTGTACAGCACAATACATAACATCTCAGTTTTATTCATATTATTATATGCTTTAGCTATTTTAAGTTACCTCTTAAATAAAAGAAAAACTAGGTAACCTGAACCAAATTGCAGGTTTACTTTTTCTTATGACCTTAACATCACACATTACAGTTTTATGGCACAGTATATATTGCATTCTCTTCTTCCACAACAAAAATTCAAATGTAAAAAAAGATAATAAATAAGAATGATTAACAGATTTGATGACTTCTTGCTTTTTAGGATACAGACATACTGGCACATGCTAATTTTCAAGCCCAAAGTGTCCCGGACTATTTGACAGAAACTTGGCAATTTCTTCAGCTTAAGTGGAGCTTAGATAATCACCCAGGCTCAACATTACAAAAATACTGACAATATGAATTTATTAAGTGCACATTAAACAATCTTTGCTTTTTATTGAAAACAGTCAGCATTATTTTTGAGTGAAATGAAAATCATGACTTGATGAATGTAATTGTGACATACTAAACTCTTACTAAAGCAAATTATACATTTCATTGATGGCATCTATACTTAATAGCCTTTAATACTAGGAAAGATTACATATATTAAGGAAGTGTCTGAATCTTTCTCATGAGCTAAGAAAAATACTCTGTATTAGAAATTGCATTTATTTGAAGTTTTGACCTAACACAGTGGATTAAGGCTTAGACAATATTTACTTTGCTGCACTTGGATTCAGAAAGGACCATATGTGAAGATATTATCCTGACCAACTTTACTATATCTCCACAGTGGTCTTATAGTACCAAGATTTATATTAAACACATTGAGATACAAAATAGATACAAAACAAACTGCAACCTTATAGATACCCATTGGTAAAAGTTAATATATTTGGATAAATAACTCAAGTCAGCAGCAAAGTGGTTAAACATTTGTGATTTGATTTTATCTCAGCTTGGAATGTGGTTGGAGTGTCCCACTTCTAACAACTGTTTGCTAAGTTAAGGCTTTTAGTGTTTACTCAGTGTTGAATGAAGCAGCCTGGTCACCAGATGTGATCGCTTCCCCCAGACTGTCGTTTTTTCAGTCAGATCACTGTCCTCATGGTCCCTGTGCCAACCTTTTTCCTCAGGACATCCACCAGCCTTTCCAACCTAAATTGAGAAAAGGGAACAGGAAGGCAGGGGGTGGGGGTGGGGGAGAAAAGTGCAATTACTGTCCCGAATGTTTTGGCAGAAAAAGAACAGTATTTACCCCTGACCAAGCAGTGTTGGTAGTCATGTTAAGAAACAAAGCACTACTGTAAAAGAGAGACACTCATACAGAGTGCGCAAGGATTTAACTTTAACTCAGATTACATCAATGTTAGATGTAACATAAAATAATATGATACTCATTTAAATACATTTATCTACTTGCATAAAGACTGTGAATGAACCATTTACAGTGCAAAGACAAAATAGCATACTAAGAGCAGATCAACTGCAAGCTGCTGTTTTTAAAATAAGAGAACCACATATTTTAATACAGAAATATTAGCAATGATACTTCTTACATAGGTAAACAAGTGACACACTGGCTTGTATGCTGAAATACTGTTACGCATTAAGTCTTAGCTGAAAATAGGAGTTAGATAGGAAAATTTCATGTTCCAGTAGCACTATAATAATTTAAATATATACAAATGATTGGACACTAATATAAACCAGACATTGTGTACATTAACAAGCTTTCTATTTCTGAGTAGTACAAGCTAGGAATTACTATAAAGGTTTTATACTCAAAGAAAAATGTTTTTTGTTTGTTTGTTTTTAATAAATTAAAACCCCACAATGTGACAGTCAAAAGTCCCCAAGTCTGTTCTGCAGTGTTCTCTGGCCACTCTATGGATGGGAGATCACATTCATGTGAACCAGGGAGTTTCACTTAACAAAAGATGATAGAATCAGACCATTAATTGGCTTTCTTATTTCATTTTCTGTATGGCAAGCATAAAACCTCAACTGAAAGTCTCTCTTGATGTTACACACAGAAAAGTCTTCCTTCCAAGTGAAAATCACAGCCGGAGTTTTCATATACACAACCTCTCCTCAAAGACTCAAAGCAGTCTAGTCTGCTCCACAGTTTGCCTCATTTATATGGATCCATGCATGAGAGTGCTTTGCAAATAAACACAGCACAGAGCTAGACACCAAAGGAATGAGGGGATCCGCAGTGCCATACATGCTCGTTTAAACTGTTTGGGAGTTTCAGGAGGGAATGGACAAATTAACCGCTCACAACTTAACAACTAGCTCAAGTGTATTGGAAAAATCTGCATGTAGCAAAAAGTCTATTAACAGAAAACAAGCATATAAAATTTTAAAGAAATTTAGCAATAATTTTAATAATAAAACGGTATATCATGCCTTAACTTATTATTATATATTCATGAAATCAGTCTGGAGGTACAAATATCTGAACTAGAAGACTCATAAGAAAATTCATTGCACTCACAGATTAATCTGAGCTAGTTGAGCTTTCTTTAGTGGTAAAAACTAGCACCATTTATATTAGTATGACTCATGGGACTATTGAATTCTGGGGACAAAGTTTTATTAACCCGAATTAAGGAAGAGGCAAAAATTCTAATGTGGATGATATATAGTATAAATTTATGCTATAAATTTCCTGCTGAACTCTGATAGTAACTTAAAATTGATAAGAAATGTTCTCAGTAGAAATCTTGAAAAGCCATTAATAGTATTTCTTTGCATAAGAATCAGAAAATGTTGTTTTCAAGTTGGTTAAATATAATCCCTCCTTAGCGTCAGGAATTTAGCTCAGTGGTGTAAGCACTAGCCTGGCAAATACAAGGTCATGAGTTCAATCCCCGGTACCAAAAAATAAATAACTACATAAACAAACAAACAAATTATATATATATATATATATATATATAATCCCACCTCAATAATATCACTTACACTATTAATAAACTTTCTTACAATGTAAACATAAATTTAGGCCAGGGGCATAGATCAGCAGTACAGGGCCTCTCTGGTGTTAGGCCCTGAGTTCAATTCCCAGTACCAAAAATAAATAAATAAGTGAATAAATAAACAAATAAATTCTACTTTGTGTAGTTATCATTATCATTGCTACAAATTCAGAATCAATAAAATGCTTAATCAATGATCAATCTGTGTTGTGCTTCTTTTGGCTTCTTTACAGACAGGCTCATCCTTTATTTCCTTTTTATACATTAGGACATCTTTCCACTTATAACTCCTATCTTGCTTGTTTTGCAATGCCACTACTGTATTTCAAGAATTGCTAGAGGAATCACATTCTCAGTTAATCCAGGTTGAATGACTTATGAAAATTTGATCTTTGAAATAAGAAAAATGTCCATGACTTAGTTTTGCAAAAGTTTACTGACTTCTGAAACACAGTGAAGCTCCTATCCCCTTCTTTATGAAATGGAATCCACCTGCCAAAGAGAGGATGTGCCAGCAGGAAGGTAGAAATGTGTGTCGCTGAAGCACCCTGCAGGATTTCCTGGAGGTATTCTTTACTGCCCAAGTCAGTAACACCCTTAAAACATTTGGACCTCACTGAACATATTACTCAGAGATATCCTCCCATGGGCTTCATGAGGTAAGTAAAGGGCTAATGTGAGGACTAGTATTTCTTCATTTTCAATATGAAGAAATTAAAGCACTTGTACAAAAGTTCTGAGGTAAAACAGTGCAAACATGTTTACAAGGTTCTGAGTTAAAACAGTGACAAACGTGGGCCTGGTTTCCTGGTTTCTGGTTCAGAGCTATTTCCATTAGGTTTTGCATTACCAGTGACCCACAAATTACAGGTTAATTGATTATCTGTTTTTGTACTATCATTAAAATTTTTTCCTCAAATTCTTAAGTCAGGTTAGAAAAATATTTGTTGGAATATTTCTCTTGCTATTTTAGCAAGAATACATTATAAGAAAGTAAATTCATGGTACTGTGCCAATATTAAATAATTATAATGCATTTTCACTATGATGTTTTTGTATCCACTTGAAAATTAAATTTACAGATATATTTTAGGTGGAAATCCTATTTTTTAAACCAATATTTTAATATTTTATTTTCTTTTAGATTTTTAAATATTCATTGTTCTTTAGAAATATTCAAAATTTTCAACATTGGCTGTTTTTTGGTGTACATAGTAAAAAAATAACAAAAGAAATAATCTCTATGAACTACGATGAAAATACGCTTTTCACATATTACTCAAAAGACATTACTTACTCCTTTCTCTCAACTTTCAAATTCACACTTCTATCGCAAAATGCTCTTTGAATATTTGGACTCAAATATCTCACTGCTTTCAAAATACGTCCTCTTTATAATACACAAGCCTCAGCATGTCTAAAACAAACCTATCTCACCTCCTATGCATATTTCTGTATTTCATTGTCTTGGGCGCTATCATTCATTCACTTAGTCTTTATGCTGGAAAAATTTAGAAAAGCTTGGGACACTGCATTTCCTTTTTCTCAGTTTAGTTTGGAACTAAAGAAACTTTGTACTGACACTACAAAGGTAGACGGTGGGAAGCAATGAAAGGGTTCCCATTCATCTTGTAATGTCATTTGCATTTTAGAAAGAGTCCACTTGCATGAATGCAGAGATGGGATGAAAGCTCAGCTTAGCCTCCACGTCAGGAGACCAGAAGACTCCTTATTAATACATTCTAGTGAGTACAACAATGTGGAAGCACTAAGTGCAGTAAAGCACACACTTAAAAATGGTTAAATGGTGCATATGTCATAATTCTGTTACCAAGATAAGCAAATCAAGACAGGAAGGCTTTAAGTACAGCTGCAGCAAAGCAGACAGGCAGAAGGGGATGGGTGTGAAAGCTATTTAGGATACTGAGTCAAAAGGATGGAGAACTTTTGAGAGCAAAATGGAATGAGTTAGGCAAGGAAAGGCTGACCTCTAGGCATCTGGTCTTACTGACTAGGCAAATGGTTATACTCTAGCCAAAACAGTGGAGAGGAAAAGCAGCTTATTTCTGCTGGGGGAACGTGTGTGAGGATGAGTTCAGTCTGATACTTAAATAAGTTGAAGTGCTGTTGAGATATATAAATGGGGATATTTAGGTACATGGATATAAGAGTTTGTGTTAAAGGGAGAATCTTTGTTAATTTTCAGTTCCTAAACAAGTACTTGCTGAGTAATTCTTATTTAAGGAGTACTTTCCTACGCCCTGATTATTCAAAGAATAGGACATGCTTATAAAAAGCAGCAAGATGGGAAAGATCTTTATATGAGTAACTCTAAAATGTTATTGTAAATGCTGTAGTAAAATAAAAAAAAATGAAGGGCAGAAGGAAAATAGAGCCTAATGAAACAAATATGTAAAAGAAAGAAACTGGCAAAGGAATTTGAGAAAGGATAGTCAGAAAAGTAAGATGACCAAATGTGGGTGCTGTAATAGAATCCAGACCGGAGAACTTCAAGAAGGGCGTGATTCACAAGATAGTGAGTGGTTCACCAAGAGCAAGGTGAAAAGTGACCATTTGATTTAACTGTCAGGAAACAATAACGTTTATCAGTGCAATTTGAATGGTTTTACCGCAATGGGATTAAGCATGTGTAGAATGTGAAAAAGTGAAGAACAGACATTTTTATAAGAGGTTGGCCAGAAAGTAGAGAGGATTACAGTTATAGAGTGATGTCTGGCTGAGGGAAATTTTAAAAAATGGAAGATTTGAATATATTTATAGATCATGGAAAAGGAGATTACACAGAGAGATTAAAACGTGAGGGAAAAGATAATTGTTTAGGCAGAATCTCAGAGGATAGAATCATAAGCATGATTTATAGGACAATCTTTGAGCATATCATGGGACAACTTTTCTTTTGAGGCTGAAGGAGGTAGGATAAATGCAACCAGAGGGTAACTTTGTAGGTATAGGGAAGGACACTGACAGGAATCAGGCCTGCTACTTTCAATTTGCCCCATGGAGCAGGAAACACAGGTCTCGCTGAAAGCACAGATGAGAGAAAAGGCTGGAAAAGCACAACGAGGTTTTAATACAATAAAAGGAGATGAGGACTATGGAAAAGGATTGGTAGGTGGGCTGATGGTGACCTTCTACAACCAGAGTGTAATTTTG